ATATATATATATATATATATATATATATATATATTTAAATGCAGTGGTATAGATTAGTTTAAAGCCAGTGTGTGTGGTGGTTGGAGTGTTGGACTCAGGTAGACCAGGGTTCAAATCTCCACTTCGTCATGGAAACCCACTAGGTGACCTTTGGCAAGTCACAATCTTTCAGCCTAAGAGGACAGCAATGGCAAATCTACTCTGAATAAATCATGCCAGGAAAATCCAAGGATTCAGTCACCGTATTGGAGATGGCATGGTGTAGTGCAGTGGTTCCCAAACTTTGGTCCTCCAGGTGTTTTGGACTTCAGCTTCCAGAAGCCCCAGCCAGCTTGGCCAATAGTTAGGAGTTCTGGGAGCTGAAGTCCAAAACATCTGGAGAACCAAAGTTTGGGAGTCATTGGTGGAATGGTTGGACTACAACACCAGGAAACCAGGGTTCCAATTCCCATTCAGCTATGGAAACCCCAATGAGTCACTTGGTGAGTCACACTCTCTCAGCCCTAGAGGAAGTCAATGGCCAACCTCCTCTGAACAAATCTTGCCAAGAAACTGCTGTGATAGGCTTGCTTTAGGGAGATGTGTGTGTGTGTGTGTGTGTGTATGAATATATACACCCAACAATGACACCAGGAGCATAGGTAGGGTACAACAGTGGTTCTCAAACTTGAGGTTCTCCAGATATTTTGGACTTCAGCTCCCAAATTCTAGACTGTTGGCCAAGCTGACTGGGGATTCTGGGAGTTCAAGTCCAAAACACCTGGATGCTCAGAGTTTAAGAAGCTCTGGATTAGGACAAGGTATAGTTGTCTCCCCCTGATGGGTCACCCTCTTCAATGAAAATGTCATGGTGTTCAGTAAACTGAAGGAGATGTATAGATATATCTATATCTACACAGAGATCAGGAGCCAGAGTGGTTTAGTAGCTTGAATGATGGACTCTGGGGACCAGGGTTCGATTCCTGGCTCAGCCATAAAACCAACTGGGTGACCTTGGGCAAGACACACTCTCTCAGCCTCAGGAGAGGCAATGACAAACCTCCTCTGAAGAATCTTGCCAAGAAAGCTCCATGATAGGTTCAACTTAGGGGTCAACGTAAGTTGGAAATGACTTGAAGGCACGCAACAGCAACAACTCAGAGATCAAGTCCAATGGAAGACAAGCTGAATTTCCACCGAAAAGGAACTCTGTTGCTGTCTAAAATGCCTCCTGGCAAAGCTTAGCTATGGCAAGGAAGGAGTTCATGAATAGAGAAATTGCATTGGCTCTGCCCTTCACCATCAGCGCTTCTTCTCTCGAACAGTTGGAATACGTCCGTCCGATAGCGTGCGCCTGACTTATTTATTTTATTCCCAGAGATAATGAGTCTGGCAGCAGGTTAATAAGTGTCAACTGACAGAGAATGGTAAAAGTTGTAAAGATAAATTTGTTGTGCAGAGGGAAATTTCCCCCCTCCTCTTGTTTGTTTGGCAGAGTTGTGTATGGGGTGTTTTTTTAAAAAATACATATCTATTTTTATACACAGTGTAGTGAACTTTACGTGGGAGTGGATGATCAGGAGGGCAACACAACTGGAGCAAGTGTGGATGGTTACCAAGGAAATAGGAGAGAATGGAAAAGGGGTGCAGAAGAAGAAGTGTTGGGTGGGAGACATTCGAGGGGAGAGCGATGGAAGTGTGGGAGAAGAGTGTTAAGATCTGTGTTATCAATGCTGTTGTTGTTGAAATTACTCCTATTATTCTATTAATTGCCATCGAGTTAACTTAGACTTATGGAAACTCTATGGATGAGACGTACCCAGGAGTAGCTGTGTTGGCCATATGGCAAAGTACAACAACATCCAAAATCCACAAAACAGCAATACTTTGATTGGGTCGGCCCAAATGCACAAAAATGCATGCAAAAATACATTCAAAGCTCCACTGGTTTCTCCTTCAAGCAAAGAGAAGGGATATGACTAGGGATACGACTGCATCCGCACTGCAGAAGTAATCCAGTTTGATGCCACTTTAACTGCCATGGCTTAGTGCTATGGGATTCTGGAAATTGTCATTTGTGGCAGCACCAGAGCTCTCTGACAGAGAAGGCGAAATCGCTCACCAAACTACCAATCTCAGAATCCCATAGCATTGAGCCATGAGAGTTAAAGTGGTGTCAAAATGGGTTATTTCTGCAGTGTGGATGCAGCCAATGTTAGATTGCCTGGACCACACTTCTGTTCCCACTCACCCCTTGGTTTCTCGACAGTCCATTCCTGGGGTCTGTATGTGCATTTACCTGGAAACTTGTAAGCTTTAGAGAGGACAGATAGCTGCTTTGAGCTTCAGACGAAAATCCAGAGTGGTTGCATCACCATCCTGATATCTCAGCCCCCAAATACCACCAGTTTGAACATCCAAAGTGAAATGTCCCTGCCTGCAAATTTCTTGTTCTCTTTCTCCAATAGAAAACTTTCCCTTGGAGAAAGTGATCAGATATACACAGGGATGGAAGACCTTCGTCTTTGGAAGTCTTTAAACAGAGTTTGGATGGGTATCTTTTGAGAGTGCTTCACTTGTGTGTTCCTGCATGGCAGGGGTTGGGTTAGATGGCCCTTGTGATCTGCCATTTAAGTCTAAGATTCCTAGTCTATTGTAACAAAGTATGCTCAATAAATATGAATATTAGGCTTCAATGTCTAGGACAGGAAATTGTCTTTTGCCAGAGTCTGGAGAAGTCATACTAGACAAGGTAGGGCTGTGGCCTGGACCCTTTGCCCATCTTGGAAAAGTTAGATCTCAGGTTGAACTGCAAGACTGGAAAATCCGTTATTCCCACCACTCCTTCTGACAAGGAAACGGTTGCATTGACTGAGAACAACCAGTGTTTAACTATCTTGTCTAATTCCACTAAATGGAGACCCTACCAAACTGGCTCAAACTGGGACAATCCTCATGGCAAAGTATTGTGTTGCCTTCAGAGAGGCTGGCAAAGATGCCCGGATTTCAAAGAGTGTAAATAACTGTGAGATGGTGTAGTGGTTTGACCATTGGACTAGGACAATGGGAGACCAGGGTTCAAATCCCGGCTCAGCCATGGAAACCCACTGGGAGACCTTAGGCAAGTCGCACACTCTCAACCTCAGAGTGGCAATGGCAAGCCCCCTCTGATGAAACTAGCCATGAAAACCCTATGATAGGTTCGCCTTAGGGTTGCCATATGTTGGAAACAACTGGAAGATACACAACAACAACTATCTATAGTGATGGCTTTTTGTCTCGTGTATGCAACCATTGTTTGGTACTGCTCAGACCACATAAGAGCCATTATCAGAACCTGAAGAACACTTTACTTCTACCCTTTTGCAAACACATGTTGAGGTCATGTTTGTTCCACCTATAGGCATTCCCTTCACTCTTAAGAGTGTGAATGTTGCGTGCCTTCAAGTCATTTCTGACTTATGGCAACCCTAAGGCCATGGGGTTTTCTTGGCAAGATTTATTCAGGGTAGGTTGGCTATTGCCTTCCTCTGAGGCTGAGAGAATGGGACTCACTCAAAGTCAGCCAGAGGGTTTCATGGCTGGGCAGGGAATGCTGGTCTCCCTAGTCCAACACTCAAACTACTATGGAGACTGTCCCTCAAGTTAGGAAGACCTTTAAAATATAAAGACACAGAGAGAGAATCTTTCTCTTTGACCTGCATCTTCCTTAGACCTCTTTCTCTCTGACTTTTCCCAGTCTCCAAGTCGTCTTCTTCACATCGGAGGGTGAGACCATCCATGTGTGTGTTTTAGCCTGTAGCCCCTCAAGTTTAGCTCAAGCTCAAGCCCAAGCTCAAACCTAAGATTGGTTAGGAGAAGCAGTTTTAGCGTCCATGTTGTCTTTCCCCTCTTTTACTTGGAGAGATGCAGCTTGCATTGACTATAGACTGTTCTGCTGTTTTTTGCTGCTGTTTGCTATCTTTTAAATAAAGAGATTGTTGTTTTGGCTGCAAAATCGGCTTGTCCTTCTACCGCATTTTTACTTGGAGTCACTTTGGTCAATTGTCCATTTTGAAAGCCTTCGGCCTGCAAGGTCTCACAGTGTTACAGTCCCTGGAAGACCATTCCCACCACCACCCCAGACCAGTATAACCCAGTGCACTGCTCTTAAGAGGATGAGAAAAAACATGGAGAGGTTCTGAGGGAGGGAATAAATGGACTTTCCTCCAGCTTAGGTTTCTTTCTCGCTGACACAATACCTCCCCTTGAATAGAGGAATTTCTCTTGCTGGCTCAGACATACAAACGCCGTCACTGTGCAAAGTTTCCCGAGACGGAATTGGCATCCGACAGAAGACCCAGTGGGTTTAAACGCTCGCTTTGTTATAACAAGCTCAACAGCAGCTGGGAATGCATTGTATATGTCTTTAAAAAATGAAAAGGAAGAAAGAAAAGTAATAATAATGGGTTGTTGTTTTTTTCTTTGCGACAGCTGAAGGGGGTCGTGTCAGTCCATGATCCCTCATGGAGGAGAAATCCTACAATAGCCTCTTTCCATGAATCTCGATCGGACCACAAGATGGGGAGGAAATCGTGGAGGCAGAGAATCTAGATTTATTTATTTATTTGAATAAATTTACTTGTAGTTTTTCCTTCAAACTGTCAGCCTCCCTGCATCTCAGTCTTAGGGGAAAGATGGGGAATAAACAGGGAAAGAGAAAGAGATAGATAGATAGATAGATAGATAGATAGATAGATAGATAGATAGATAGATAGATCATTGAAGACCTCAGTATGTAAACCCTGGGAAGATGCTGCAGTCAGTGTCAGCATACTGAAGCTGGATGAACTAAAGGACTGAACTGGTATTTGTCAGTTTTCTTCTTGTTGTTTGCCTTCATGTTGTTTCTGACTTATGGTGACTCTAAGGAGAGCCTGCCATAGGGTCTTCTTATCAAATTTCTTCAAAGGGAGTCTGCCGTTGCCTGCCTTTGAGGCTGAGAGAGTATGACTTGGCCGAGGTCACCCAGTTGGTTTCCACGGCTGAGCAGGGATTCGAACCCTGGTCTCCCAGAATCCTAGTCCAGCACTCCAGCCACTTCACTACACTGCTTTTTATGATGACTTATGATGATGGGGATTTGTCATTGCCTTACTTAAGCATTGGACTATGACTCTGGAGACCAGGGTTTGAATCCTGGCTTAGCCATGGAAACCCATTGGATGACCTTGGGCAAGTCCCACTCTCTCAGCCTCAGAGGATGGCAAGGTCAAACCTCCTCTGAACAAATGTTGCCAAGAAAATCCCATGATAGGGTCTCCATAAGTCAGAAATTACTTGAAGGCACACAACAACAACAACAACAACAGCAACAGCAACAGCAACAGTAACAGCAACAACAACAACAACAACAACAACAACCCTCTGAAATGCAGCCTAGAGCACCTGGTATTCATTGCTGGGCTCCCATCCAAGAACTAACCAGGACTGGCCCTGCTTAGCTTTTGAGATCAGAAGGGATCTGATGCCTCCGGCTCCAAAATCCAAATCTTCCTCCCTAAGTTCCCACAGCTTTAACCAGCGACTCATTTAAAAGGGAGTTTTCACCTCTCCGAACATGGTATTACGAAGTCACCGTCCATGTTTTAAACATTTGGGAATCAATCGGACGCTTTGTCAAATCCGTACCGCCGTTCACACATGGCCAGATACGAATCCTTAAGCGCGGCCGAGGCAATAAGGTGCTATGATGCTCCGAGGAGCCTTGTCGGCCGGAAACATCAGCAAAAGGGATGTGCTCTGGTGCAACCCAATGGAAACATCTTTATCTCTAAGCCGCTTCCCATGAACGCCAAAGTGTCCTCTAATAGCAGCCCATCACAATACCATTTTGTACTCTGCACCATTCCATTTTCAAGCTTCCTCGCTCATCTTCTTGCTAGTCACTGCTACTAATCTTTTTCTAAAACGAGCTGGACACATAAAATAATATTTCGGCCTGAAAGAGAGGTGGGAGAAGTTGGTACAAAAAGGAAGAATGGGACAACTTTGCTCTGTAGAGGTCCAACCAATATTCCTTTGGGATTGCATTTCAGCTACGACTAACATTGTCAATTTCTTATTTATTTCTTTTTCCTGTGTTATTTTTAACACTTTTCCCCAATGAAGACTTCAAAAACTTGCAACATTTATAATGTGCATTTTGGTTGTCCCAATAAAAGTATCATTGTTTGGTTCACTAGAAAACCCTCCAAATTTGGGATCCCACCCAAACAAGTGCCACAGTTTTGCCATGATTTTGCAACAAAGCATCGACGTTTGGCGCAAAGGTGGATTTGGTGAGTTCCCCCAAAAAGTCATTTGAGACATCCATTATTTGTTTTTGGGGTGGCATTGCAAACAGAGATTCTTTTTTTTTTTCCTCATTGCAAATAGTTGCAAAATGTTGGCACAGGTTTGGAGCACATAGGCAATGTCGGGTTTGGGGGTGTTTACTAGGAATCCAGAGCTGTGTCCATATCTCAGTTTTGGAGGTATTGCAAAATGCAGGGGTTTGGATACAAGATATTGCAAAACAACTACAGAGTTTTGGACAGGGTTTGAGTGGATTCCAAATTTCAGGATTGAGCATTCTTGGATGGATAGATGGATGGATGGATGGATGGATGGATGGAAAGCTTTGGCTCCTCTTATCCCTTATGCCTTACCACCATTTTGGC